TATTTCGTTGTTACCCCCTTTCACCCCCTTAGGGGTGGTTGCCCCAAAGCAAATGTTGGCAGTTTTGCAAGGGACAATATGGCGACAAAACGAAGTCCAGTCAACCCGATCAACAGGGCTTCGCTGATTAAAACTGATTCAAGTTGAAGTTTAAATTTAAGTTTAAATTGGCTCAGCCAACTAAGAAACCTTCTTTTCACTACTCAGAAAAGAGAAAGCGAGAAAATCACCACTCAGAAACTATTGCATTCCAGTCACAGCTCAGAATTCGCACCTAAGTACAGGGGCGTAGAGCACAGGTCCGCCCAGCCCACTCAGATCAGAAATTCTTTGCCTACCTTTCAGGCGGCCTGCCCAACAATCTCTTATTTCTACGTTCTCCCCATATGTCCAGTCGTCTACGTCCAAAATTCAATATTCAATATTTTATGTCCGCACGAGTATGTATTAAGTCGACGTGTCCCTCGAGCAAAGGCGGATCTGCGCGCGACCGATGAACAAGGGCGCATCTGTTTCGGTGCCGCCGAAGAAGGGCGCATCTGCTTTTGGCGAGATTCGCTAGGGGGATTTTTAAATGTTTCCCGTTTAACGTAGAGAAGTAATACAGCAGCAAAACTTACGGTACATACTAATGAAGAATCAAGGATTAATATGAGCTAACGCCCAAATATATAGGACAAACCTCTGAGGTGTGAGGAGCGTGCAAAGTTCACCTACGCGAATCTCACGGAAAACAGATGCGCCCTTGTTCATCGGTCGCGCGCAGATCCGCCTTTGCTCCAGGGACACGTCGAAGTGCAAACGCTCGCGCTAAGGAAAACCTACGTTTCGTTTCAGAGTAATCTGTGCCCAAAAGTGTGCGATTTCGTACAAATAACGACTACATCTCACTATGGGGGCGACACGTTTTCTATCTGCAAAAAAAATATAGAGCTTTTTCTTGATTTACTTCGCATTTTGATTTTAAACTTAAAATAGCGGTTATTTGAAGGACTTTTCCAGTTTCAGTCCTGTATCACCTTAAGATACCCTGAAAATTTTAAGTCTCTAGCACATCTCCTTCTAGTGGAACAGATACACAGACACTGACAGTCAGAAACGAGGTCGTTTGCATAAGCCCGCTGGATACCTTTTTCAAAGCAGTAGAGCAGTCTAAAAAGAGAACGAAACAAGCAGGCCCACCCTTCCGCCAAACGGAGTTGCCAGCTCCACTTCGCTGCGCCGGGGCCGGGCCTGCTTGGCCTTCGGCCCAGAGGTCGGCATCCGCTCCCGAACGGGTCCCACTCTGAGCGCGCGCCGTGCGCAGTAGGTGTGCGAGAGAGACAGAGCGAGAAACCCGAGGTAGCGATGGCGATGTGCCGAACCTCGCCGAATGCAGCCGAGCGAACGGGACCCGTTTGAGTGGCCGAGCCCCGCCTGCCGGTCACCTGAGGGCGTGGCGTGGCGTGGCGCGTAGGCAAAGTCGGTCCATCTACGCGTAAAAACACGTCCGGTGACACACGGTACGGCATATTCGTCCCAATAGTTTTCGTGTTGTGCTACGCCGAAAGAGTCTAAAAAGGCTAAAATTTCCTT